ACCGATCTCGGCAGGAAAGTGAATTTCGAAAAATTTTCTGGGAGCAGAAACAACCACTTTGGTGTTATTTTGGATGGTGATTGTGTACAGATGAACCTAACACTAAATGAGGTAAACGTATTCATGGCGTAAGGAATGCAATAACATCTACCCTTAGGAAGAAACCGTCTATGGGAACCTACAAATATGAAAGCTGAACGAGGCCATTAAACGCGATCTGTTGCAAAGCCAAGCGTCAATATCGACCGCCAACCGAGATACATCCTCTATCTTTCTATGCAGCTTTTACTGGAAGGCTAGTAGTCGAAACCAGAGCCCAAAAACCAAGCAATCGTTTTCCAAAATCAGACACCGCTGTTTCAACCCGCCATAGGTCCATAGGTCTCAAGTGAACGAATTTTTTTCGGCGGTTGATGTCGAAAATTGGCTTTGCAACAGCTCTGGGGCTCAAATGTTTGCCTAGCACCACTGATGACGATTCAAAACAGCGCTGTCTGGTGATGGATCACGAAAGCTTCGTTTTCGGGCGCTGGTTTTAACTAGTTGCCTTGCACTAAAAACTTCAAATAAAGAGACATAACGAATCTCTTTCGGCAGGTGATGCAACAGCAGGTGATGCAACAGCTTTGGGGCTAAAATATTTGCCTAGCACCACTGATGAGGACTTTGACGATTTAAAACAGCCCCGTCTGGTGATGAATAACGAGGGCTTCGCTTTTTGGCACTGGTTAAAACTAGTTGCCTTGCACTGAACTCCGAACAAAGAGAGAGAACGAATTATGTTTGGCGGTTGATATCGAAGATTGGCTTTGCAACAGCTTTGAGGCTCAAATGTTTGCCTAGCACCACTGATGAGGACTTTGACGATTCAAAACAGCACTGTCTGGTGATGGATCACGAAGGCTTCGTTTTTTGGCGCTGGTTTCAACTAGTTGCCTTGCACTGAAAACTTCAAAGAAAGAGATATTACGAATTTTATTCGGCAGGTGATGCCGAAGATTGGCTTTGCAAGAGGTTTGCGGCTAAAATGTTCGTCTAGCACCACTGATGAGGACTTTGATGATTCAAAACAGCCCCGTCTGGTGATAAATGACGAGCGCTTGGTTTTTGGGCAATGGTTAAAACTAGTTGCCTTGCACTGAACTTCAAAGAAAGGGAGAGAACGAATTTTGTTTGGCGGTTGATGTCGAAGGTTGGCTTTGCAACAGGTTTGGGACTCAAATATTCGTGTAGCACTCCTGATGAGGACTTTGATGATTCAAAACAGCGCCATCTGGTGATGGATCATGAAGGCTACGTTTTTGGGCGCTGGTTTTGACTAGTTGCCTTGCACTGAAAACTTCAAAGAAAGATATATAACGAAACCCTTTGGCGGATGATGTCGAAGATTAGCTTTGCAACAGCTTTGGGGCTAGAATGCTCTGGCATGACTGATGAGGACTTTGACGATTCAAAACAGCGCTGTTTGGTGATGGATCACGAAGGCTTCGTTTTTGGGCGCTGATTTCAACTGATTGCCTTTCACTGAAATCTTTAAAGGAAGCGAGAGAAGCAATTTCGTGTAGCGGTTGATGTCGAGGATTGGCTTTGCAACAGCTTCACTCCTTTAAGGACCCTCTTCATTAATTGATTTCATTAAATTAGTCTCCTTTCACTCCATAGATAATATCTCCGCAAGGAAAGATGTCATTATCTTTTAAGGCAGTTGAGCCTAGTGAAGCATTCGTGATTCAGTCTAGTATCACTGATGATACCCGCAGCAGTTCGAAACCGCGTTAATGGTTGTTGGATCATTATTGCTTCCTTTTTTTGGCTCTAATTTCGACTATTCAAAGCGTGTGTATCATTAATTCATTTATAACTTTTTTTTGCAGAATATAAGTAAAACATATTTCTACGAGACCTACCATTGGCTGATAATGAGCCTATCAAGAGACATCTCACACATTTTCGAACCATTGAAATTGAGTATCAACTCCGATGTTCATCTTGTAATTCCGAACGAAAAAGAAAATTTTAGTATTTTTGATGTTTATAACCCAGCTTCTGAACACGGAGGAATTGTGAAAGTGATATTTCTTGGAATGTATAACAAAGCTGTAGGGTATATGGCAAAATATTCTGGGAATAAATATTGGGAAAGACGTAATATGACTGGAGTGAATTTTAAGTCTGCTATAGTGGTGAGATTTTTCTTCCATAATTCTGAATAGAACATAGGATTTTCAAGTATTTCGAAAAATATTTGTCAATTAGAAACGTCCCATACATCAAGAAGTGTAAACTTTCACGGCCGGAGATAATTGTTTCGAAACAGTTTCCCGGGTTTCTGACCGTGGTCTGCAGGCTTTTAAATCTGAGGTTTTGTCTACAACTGCGGTAGACACTGCTTCAGTTTCTATGGGTTACATCAATTGGCCTGGTACCTGTGCAGTTCGGTGCAGGTACCTAAATATAATTCGAACTGATTCCATCTTCTTTTGTGGTTGAAATTATCTCAGAATGTTGTGTTTCTGAATACTGTGTTTCTGAATTTCTATCGTGTCTGTATACAGGCTGTCGATTTGAAAACTTTCCATCCTTAAATTATATGAGGAATCGAAAAAACAGGCCAATTTCATAGGCAAGGGGGACACTTTCAAGGAATATTCGTATCCCTCGTGGTTCAATCTCCAAGGAGGGGTAGATGCTACCTTTAGAATTTTAAATGGGAAGGGGTGTCAAGTGGCACATCATTTCGATTGGCGTTCAATTCTGCTTCCAATGAGACCCTGGTGTTTTATTTGTTGACGAACAGTTCTGGAAAAGTAGTATTCTAAACTTACACATGTAATTTGAATTTGCCTGTTCTGAGATGCATTATTGTGTTTGTTATGTATTGGGAATGACTGGGTGAAATTATTCGATTGCAAGTAAAATATCAAGGTCGTTTATTCACTCAAAACGTTTCCCATAGACTGCGAACATACAATATAAAAACAAAGGTAGCAAAACATAAAAAAAAGCCATTGGTATTTCGTACTGAGATAAATAATATGGATATACCGGGTGATTAAATACATTTTCAATAGCAGTACATCACAGTATTCAACTTCTTTCAATAAAAATGGTTGGAAAAGGAGTTGGCACCGTTCCAACCTTTGAATGACAGGAATAAATGTATTACGCGTGGAATTTTTTATTTGTTGGTTACTTTCCTTCTACAAAATAGAATTTAATTTGCGAGAAAGACATTTCAAACAATATCTATTTACGCTCATCTTATAAACTGTTCGAAATGTCTTTTGAGTTCTTCATTATCAGAAGTTTGTTTTTTATAAATAACGGATTCAAGATGCCCCCAATTAAAGAAATCTAAGGGTGCTAAATCCGGTAATCTCGGAGGCCATTCAACTGTTCCCTTCTGCCAATCCATCTATACGGAAATCTCTTGTTTAACCACTGTCGGACGGGAAGAAAATAATGAGGTGGAGCACCGTCCTGCTGGAAATGTTACAGATCCTCCCGAAAAAGTTCATTAGCTTCTGCATCCATTTGAGTTTCTAGATCGTGAGGTATAAGAGGATCGATATTTTCTTCAAGCATTTCAGAGTGCAGATTGCCAGTCAAGTCAAGTCAATACCATCCCAAACATTAACTTTTTGTGGGGGAGGTGTTTGCCCTTTCCGAAAAATATGTGGGTTGTCACTACAATAGCGACAATTTTGTCTATTAATATTGCCATTCAGAAAAAATGAATACTCATCGCTGAAACAGATATTTAATAGAAGATTAGGGATGGTATTGACTCGATGAGATATGACTTCACAAAACTCAATTCTTCCTCGTGGAGTTCTTGAAAAATCTGCATTTTATAGAGATGAAATTTATGCATTTTCAATGCTTTTCTTGAAGTTTCGCGTGACATTCTAGTCTGATTGCAGCAAATGTTCCCAAAATTTCATTTTGAGCTGCTTCATCTAGTACTCTGGAGTTATTTTTTTTATTTGTCACTGAGTCAGTTTCGTAGAACTTATTCACCAAATCGAGCACATTTCGATGACTTACATTACAATTTGGATGCCCTCATCAAAAAGACATGCCGCACTTCGTGAGCACTTTCCAACTTCTCCATGAATTACAATCATTTTAATTCTATCTTGAAGAATGTAAACCATTTTTACACTTTTATACACCTATTTGAGTAATCACTAAACAGCCCAACAGTATGCACAATACCACCACATATGATTATTTCAGCGGTTCCAATGTAGACCGGTCTTTAGCTGACCCTAGACTGTCTCTGATGATTCTCTTCAACGTCTTCATTATCAAAATTAATTGGTTTTCAAAATACGCTGATGCTTAACTTTCCCCTTATATTCTTATAGGCTGACATATGATAAGGAAGCTATTGAAGTTCAAGATGATATACCTTGAAGACGAAGGAGTGAGAATGGAACGTGTTTGAAAAACTTCCTCTTGAATGAATGAATTGTAGTGAGTTATTCCATGAGTTTCGTTGCATTTTTCTTCATTTGGTACAACTTTCTGCATTTATCAAGGTTTTTATCGTTCCTAGCAATACATTTGCATCCCTGGAGTGATGGGCTTAGACGATATAATCAAAGAATTTGAGCTTTCATGGCGGTAGATAACAGTTTTGGAGCAATTTTCCAGGATTGTTGGACGTGGTTAGAAGGTTTTTATTCCCAACAATACACGAATCCGGCCAATTAATCCGACCAATAGTAACTGACCATTCGAACCTTGAACAGCACAGTTTGCAACAACAACTGAAATACTGCATCCGTTGATTCCGATAATAGTCACCGCAGTTGTAGTAGAAATGTCAAGTTTCGAAAGCTGCAGATCATGACTAAAACATCCAGACGATAGTTATGATATAATAAAAGACAATGTATTAGACTGTGGTTTCGGTTGTAGACTACTAGATACAAACTTTTGGTTTTGATTTGACTTCCTTCTAAAGAGGTCTGTAGTAATTTTGATGGTTGGACAACTAGGCAATTAGGAAATACTCTGTATAATGGAATTATTCAATTTGAAAGCTTTGAAACAAATGCAGGTAATCATAATCCTAACTATTTCAGATACCGAATTTGACTATGCCATTAGAAACTTATTTAGCTAGCGATGAAGACAGACAAATTAATTCCATGCACAGATTCCAAAGTACAAGTATTAACTATTGCAAAGATATGTTTAATTTCAGGTAAGGCAAAATTTCCATTTTTTTTATAATAATACGTTGCAGTTTTGTTTACTGTTCAGTGAAAAACCCACAATAAAATGTTTCTTGAATATGTCATGGATTTTCATCAAGTATAGGCCAATATCATCACCAAAAAAGATGTTGTTGCTAATGTGAAACAACGGATGAATCATATTCAAGTACCATTTCTCAAGCGTGGATTCTGATTTCAGTGGATGACATCCTACTTGCGTACGTTCCATTTGCGGACATGATCAATTTTGTCCGACTTGCGTAAACGATGAGGTCACCTCTTGAGCCAGGTAAAATACCTACTTACGTATAAACAATTATCCTCAGCATATACAGAAACATTAGATATTGAAAATGCCTAACTTGTCTAGCTTATGCCGTTAAGTCAGTTTAGCAAAAATTAAACTTTCATTCCAACACTTGTAGAAAAAAATGTGAATAATGTAAAAATAACTACTCAACTACCTTCTAATCAACCTATGTATGCATTTAAAACAATTTAACTTCCTCTCCCAACTCTCTCGACCCATAAATCCAATTCACAATGAAACGAGAAACCCAAGGGACTCTAGCTTTCTCGGATGCCCTCGTGAACAGACGTGAAGGTTGTACATTGGGCCACAGAGTGTACAGGAAACTAACACATACACATACAGACAGGTACCTGAACAAAAACACCAGCCACAATAAAAGAGAGGGGTAATTAAAATGTTGGTTGAGAGAGCATGACGGATTTGTGAACTTGAGAGTCTCCCTGAGGAACTTAATCACCTGAAAAATGCCTTCAAAGGAAATGTGTACAGCCAAAGAGAATTCGCTGTACACATATTCATTAGAAACTTCATTATAAACATTACTTATGGACCCCTAGATTAAAAATTTTTGTATTGAAAAACTAACAACCTACCNTTATATCTACCACCAGAGTAATATTTCTCACTTTTGTCCCATAAATAATTATAATCTCCTAGTTTGTATATGTTTCATCTGCTCACCAACCAATTACTGTATAATAATGTAAGTAGGTTTGTACACGATTTTACTATTATGGAAATTACCCACAAGAGGCTCAATTTACCTGTCATATTAAACCTGCACTTATTCGAAATTTATCATGTTTAGGCATATCTAACTCTGTATTGGATGAATCTTTGGAAAGCAAACATCATGTTATTTTGGAAAAAAGTATTAATTTTAAATTTTTTTGTGTACAGTGTTTCAGGTTTCTTAGATTGTGATCTGATCGTTGATTTCAGTCGTTTCAAGTATGCTTTTAAAGGGATAATATTTGGATGTTATGGAAAAGAAGGTAAGCTGGTACCTGGTATAAATAATTCTAGAAAATATCTAAATCGTCTGGAAAACAAGTGATGGAATAACCTTGTTGATTGCTACAGTAGGAGAGATAGTTTGCTTCAACTCAGGTGGATGTAATTTTTTCTTTACTCATTTAGACGAGATATCGGCGTTGCCCTACGTTTCTGGGGATATTAAATCCGGAGTGTCGAATTTATTTGAACTATTCATTCTCCACCCCCAGGCTCATACAAGCTAATGAGCCTGATGTAGTTCTTCTCTACCATCAGTGTAATACCTAGCGAAAGCTATGTATGGTAATATAAATTCTAAATTCGGGAAGAGACAGATTTCTTCAATTCAGATTATTTTTAAACGCCGTAACTGTCTCATAAAACGTTAAATTATGGCCGAGGGACCGAGAGTGTTAATATAAACACTCTTCATCGGCGTGAAAAGATGCCCAGACAGATATTATTATCACGTAGCTCGAAATGTTAATATAAGCATATCAATATCCCAGAATTGAAAGTTTTGTGAACTCATCGAAATATGTTTTTGATGACCTACGTCGTACGGGGGCAACGACAAAAAGATAACGGTTTGAGAAACGTGAGAGGCGGGGCACTCGTGATGGTGTTCCTGGATTTTGAAAGGAGAAAAAACAAAGAGTTCTGGGAGCTCTTCGCTTAAAGCAGCGGTCTGGAAGCGAATTATTTTCAAAGATCTTTTTTCTCTGCAACTGAAGACCTCCTCTTAGTGCAGGAGGCGAAATTCAAGACAGTTAATGACGTATTATTTTACTGGTGACTCAGCTATAAAACGGTAGATGTTTCAGTGGGATACGTATATATAATAATAATAGTAAAACCGTGCCGGATTTACTACATCAGAACAAGATGATATACGTCGTGGAGTTTTCAGCTCTCGGGGAAACGAATATCGTCCGAAAAGAAGAGGAAAAATGGATGAAATATCCATATTTTCTCTTTGAACACCGCAGACTCTATACAGACCACTCTGATGAGATTGTTGTTCTCATTATTGGAGTCCTTGGTGGAATAATGCCCTCTCGAATCTCAAGATTATGCCGGCTTGCCGCACTAAGGCAGTACTCTTAGCCGGACAAATGCAGAAGGCTGTCATTCTTGGATCACTGCGCTTGCTTAGGGCACATGATTCTCGGACCCAATGATCATTTACCCCATGGTGTCAGGGCTTGATCCCCCAAAGCCCCGATACATTCGGGAGGGCACGCCAGCATAGTCAACTGATGGCCACTCTCCACACTAGGGTAAGTGATCATTGGGTCCAAGAATCTTGAGAGTTGATATTGGAAAGGGCACCATTCCACCAAGAACTCCAATAATCAAAACAAACATCTTGACAGAGTGACCTGGATGGAGTATGTGGAGTTCGAAGAGAAAATTTCGATATTTCATCCGTTTTTCCTCCTCTTTTCTGACGATATTCTTTTTGCCAGGAACTGAAAACTCCACGACAAATATCGTCTTGCTCTGATGATCGAGATGAACTACATCATGCTTATTAGCTTGCATGATCCTGAGGGTGGGAAACGAATAGTTTCAATGAATTTCACACTCCTTGTTTCCCACAACGGAACGCAAGGTATCTCGTGAATACCGTAAAAGTGCCGTAGGTAGTAATGAAACACTCTTGGGGCCGTTTCATGTCGATTGATATAGTCTGAGATCCACTATTCCCACACTAGGATCCACAATGCTGGAAATTACTTTTCAACAACGTCTAGTCAGGTGAATTTTTAAATAGCTTAATATCAACAAGGCGTCTGGCCCTGATGAGGTGCCTATCATCGTACTTAAAAAATGCGCAAATGAACTCGCGGTATCCGGTTTCCTAATAGGAAATATTTTTTATGGGGATGTACAATAATGTCTGTGTAAAAATCATGAGTAATGTCGCACATTTATCATTGAAAATGAATATATTTTTTTCAGAAAAGCTAGAACTGTTGAAATGTGTCATAACGAAAGGTCTTCAGTTTGTTATTACCGATCTCGGCAGGAAAGTGAATTTCGAAAAATTTTCGGGGAGTAGAAACAACCACTTTGGTGTTATTTTGGATGGTGATTGTGTACAGATAAACCTAACACTAAATGAGGTAAACGTATTCATGGCGTAAGGAATGCAATGACATCTACCCTTAGGAAGAAACTGTTTATGGGAACCTACAAATATCAAAGCTGAACGAGGCCATTAAAGGCGATCTGTTGCAAAGCTAAGCGTCAATATCGATCGCCAACCGAGATACATCCTCTATCTTTCTATGCAGCTTTTACTGCAAGGCTAGTAGTCGAAACCAGAGCCCAAAAACAAAGCAATCGTTATCCAAGATCAGACACCGCTGTTTCAACCCGCCATAGGTCTCATGAGTTGCATTGCGGGGCTCATCTGTTCGCCTAGCACTACTGATGAGGCCTTTGACGATTCAAAACACCGTTGTCTGGTGTTTGATCATGTAGGCTTCATTTTGGGCGCTGGTTTTAACTAGTTGCCTTGCACTGAAAATTTTTTGCCAAAAAAATTATCCTATCAAATTTGTCTATTTCTAGTCATGTGTGTCGAAATAACCAATGAAACCATCATTACACTGATAACTACCCATGGATAGTTTTCACGGGTAGTTATCACTTATGTCATGACATTGCTAAGCAACCAACACAATNCCGTCTATCTCAATATATATTGTATGTTGAATTGGTTCACGATCTGGATGTCTTTTGTTGAATTATTCAGTGGCCACCCTCGTTGATCGAGCGTTGTCAACAACTAAACGCACAATCTCAATTCTCTCGAGAAAGTTGAGATTTACCATTCTGAAAATCGCAAAACTCTTATAACTCTCTTCACTGAATACTTGTGGAAAGCCTTTGAGGATACCTAACTGTCAAAATTATAACAACGAAAAAAGAGAATTTAATTTCAAAGCCTGCTATGAAAAACCGTACCTAGCTTATTGATCTAATCATGAATATGCCGTATGAAATGGAATCATGAGAACTTCTCCAAAATCTGTCACCGAGTTGAGACAAATATTTAAAAAAAGTATATTGTACTAAAAAATCAAACGATGTTGATGAAACATTTTAAACTTTTGGATTTTTGGTTGAACTAGGGACATCTATCTGTACCTGTTAAGATGATAAAACTTCGTATCTGAATATTTTATTTGTTTCTCATTTCAATGGCTACTTCACCTTTCCTTTGAAGTGTACAGTTTTTTATACAGGGTCAGTCAAAAAATCATAAATTTGGGAATTCGCCATCATATAACTAACGCACTGTATGGGATATTGGGCTGAAATTTGGTATATAAAGGTTTGATTATATGCGAGCGCTTTCGATAGCTGGCAGTGCTATCATCTTCTTGGCTCTACTGAAACTGAACGTTTCATCTTCTTGTTTGTTCTTTTATGCGGTTAGAACGCCTTAGTGCAGGTACTGCAGGTAAATTTGCCTGTATTTGGGTTACATCAGGTAATATCCTTTGTGTTGGATTTTCTCTATGTTCACTATTTCTAGGAATGTGTATTGTATTGTGTAGTATATTGAATGTTTTAGGTCTTGTTGTGTTTTGATTTGTACTTGATCCTTAATAAGAGAATTATGACTTTTAAATTTATGGATGTTTCATCCCAGATGTCCATACGGTTTCCTTTATTGACTTGTTTTATGAATTTTCTGTTCTCTGGTGGGGGAAAGTTATGTTTGTTTTGTATGGCGTGTGTTGCGAGGTTTGATTTATATGTTATTGGGTTTATGTATGCCTTTTTGTGCTCGTTGTATCTTTGGATCAGTTTTATCTTGGTTTGACCGATATAGAATTTGTTGCAGTCCGAGCATTGTATGCTGTACACTACGTTTAGGTTTTGTCTTCTTCTGTTTTCATAGCTGTTTATTTTTTGTTAGTTTCGTATTCAGCTTGTGGGTGATGTTGATGTTCAGGGGTGTGAAAATGTTTGTTAGTTTTTTGGTTTGGTGACCTACGTATGTGAATGCAGTCCATCGTTGTGTTGTTTTATCTGTTGGAGTAGTTTGATTCTTGTTCTGTATTTTTTGTTTCATTCTATTTTCTAATTTATATTTTGTCTTTTGGGTGTATCCGTTCTCAATATATCTTTGTATTCATATGTTAGATGACGCCTGGGAATACTAGGTCTTCTAATTGAAACCACAAATGTGCGGTTAGCTCTGGTTGGTGACACCGTGCATATGTGCTGTTTTCCTGTTTTTGGCAACCAATTGTTGCCCATTTTTGCACTTGGCTACACCGCGTTGATGAGGCCAATAGCCAGAAACACGTGTCCGCGGTTTGCCAATAATTTTTCTTGAGTGATCAGGTAATTTCTTACAGGTAGTCTCGATTGTGGTTACCTGTAGTATATAAATATGAATGTAAGGATGCTTGGATGTATTAATCATTTGAAAAAGCTAATGTTTTAGCGAAACATGTTATGATTATTTTCAATAAAGTTAGTGGAGATCAAATCGTTTAAGTGTAGTTTGTGAAATTGATTGATTTTTGTTCAATCTGTACACCAAATTTATTTAGATTTATTTTTCAGTGATGGCTCTGTTTCCCCAGACAACTTGTTTCTACAAGGCTTTAGTGAATAAGCCACCTGCAACACTTATTGATGAGTATGAATTGTTATTCGAGGACCCCACATATCAAGAAGGATACAGTCCTCCACATTATGTTGTGCAACGGTATGTTATTGCCTATAAACAGAAGAATAAACAGAATACTGCCACCTGACAGTACGCATCAGACAGTAATATGTCTGATAATGATGAGAGCTCCCAGCCTTTTACAGAAAGTAGTTAAGATTTATTGATGCATTTATGTAGATAAAACTTGTATAATAACGACAATATATCTTGAAACGTAACAGATTTTTATTGTTTGTCCTCAAAAAATATGGAAAAGTGGGTCTTGAAAATAATTTGAGAATTCAAAATTCCACAGACCCAAAAAGTGAGCTCTATATTCAAGATAAGGAGGGCCAGCATGTGAAAATCTGAAAGGGGGATTCAAAATCAGTTAAATTAGGAAAAAGTTGCCCATTTTTGAGATCATTATAATGACATTTTGAAATTTAAGAAAGTCAACATTTCTGTTAAAAAAAATTAAAATAAAATGACGCTAATTTTGATTTCATTAGTGTCTAGATCTTTTATCTCTTAATATTCTAGTAAAGAAAAGATTCTTCATACTGTAAATTATCAAGTCACATTTTCCAACCTGCCCTGAATCTGAAAATAGTAATTGTTAGTCTTTTTGAGGTGGCCTTGAGTAGTAAGATATTTAACTTTATTTAAAAGAAAGGCTTCTTGAGCTGTACAATCTCTTATAGAATACAGGCATTTTACCTTCACAATACCTGTGAATCTAACGAGACCATCTGGAGAACAGGCCAAGTAAGGAAACTCTGGATGAATGCGAAGCCTAGAGACAAAAACCTTATTCTTGGTAACTTTGGTGTATTCACCTAAAGCAGTTGGCTCATTCTCAATACCATACCGTATGGCTGGAACTTTAGGAACACTTGTGTACTGTAAATCATAAGTGATAGAATACGTTTTTTTTCTGATGTGTCTTATGAACTAATCCAAAAATAGATACAGTAATCCTTTTCTATTTTTCCTCAAAATAAATTTGTGAATTTCTTGATCTCATTTCCAAGTTCTGCGAATCAATAGCGCTAAGTGTCTGTAGAAAATGTTGGCAGTTTTTTTGCAAATCTGTTTTATTTTTGTTGATTTGTATGATTTATTTTTGTCGTCACATTTTCTGCAATAGAAAGAGTTATCTTAGTCTTTTAGATCGATATTTCCGCATTGCAAATGGATCCATATCACACTGAACCCATTTCACAGTTGTATCAAGATGGCCTTCATTACAATATAAACATTTCTCAGAAGTGACATCCATATTTTTTGAATATTGAGACATGAAGTTGTTTTCGAAATATGTTCAGGTTTTTTTCACTTTTCACACTGTTTCAAAACTACTGCATCAATCTTTTCATTTCGGGTACATTTTCTGGACTTGAATATCCAAAACAATCTCTTTACAAACAATAATGTATATATTATTCCCTAATTTTTCAGATACCTAACTCTGCTACATTTTTTGTTTTTTCTTCCGTCTAAGACAATGTTTTTTATTAAGCCGAAATATCTCTCTACTGGCGAATTGCTTTCTTTCTCTGCAATTAATAAGTAGAATCAACGAACCAGAAAATGAACACCACCCAATACCCAATAAATGAACAATTCAACTGATTTTATCTATATTAAGATTATTAAGGTTATTTCCAGTCTTGCCAACTGGATGAACTATAAAGATATAAAGTCGATACACAAGAACCAAAATTTCGCTACACTATTTCATATTCCGCTACAATTGTATATCTGACGCAATCAGTTCGCTCATGCGCCCTATTTAAGATTGAGTACCACAGAACTTACAGTTTGTAGTTTGGTACCGTTCAGATACCACAAAACTGAACTGTCACTTATTGTCAGAATCCTCAGAGTTGAGTCAGAATCAGGATTATGCTAATTTTCAATCGAGCAACAGTAGATGAAACCTAATTTTCTGAATTAACAGCAGTTAATTTTTGAAAGCTGTCGTCTCGACCAAATATTGCTTAACTTGAAATAATGATTTTGAAAAGTAAAAATTAATATTTATTCGTTCACGTACTATAGTCCCACTGAACTTTTGAACGATCATTCGCGACAAAGGTCTGATCCATCCTTTCAAGTTGGAATCAGACAACCAATGTTGAGAAAAAGTTTGTTTTCGAGACTTTTGTATTTTTTGAACATGTCCAGTTTTCATCAATTTCAACTGCGGTAGGTAGCTCTTTCGCTCGAGCTCCAGTCAAATGAAATATCTTCCATTTCCACTCGAGACTTTTAGTTCCAAGATATTGGAGGTTATATAGTTAATGATAGTAATGAAAATATCCAAAATTATTCTTCTTCTCTTTCATCATGTAATGGCCTCAGGTACTAAGACTATAACGTATTGACTGCATTGAATTATTCAATTTGTCAGCTGTCAGCGTCGGATGCTGTCCATTGCCTCGTCTTCTTCTATATTTTTTTCAATAATGATTGAATGAAGAAAATTCCGCTACTTTATGTTCAAAGCCGCTACGCCGCTACCGTCGAGTAAATTCCGCTACGATATTGGAATTCCGCTACTGTTGGCAATTCTGGTTATTTCCATTATTAGAAGCTGAAGAAAACGTTTGTAAATATGGCAACCGTGTGGACCATTCCATAACCAGAGAACACCTATATTTACACCTGCTTTGTGTTCTTAACCTATGTAACAGACTGACTGTCAGTGTCAGTTTGACGTTTTGAATATAGATGTTTTTTCTTGATTCGTAAATCAGAAAAATAAATGTTATTCAACATTATTAGAATTAAAATTTCACCTATACTTCTGTGCAATTCTGTGAGTTGAATTCAGTCATTCCAAAAAAGAAATATTATAATTTTGATTTCTTTTAAGCACAGATTTTATTTCTGCTAGTCTTTATATCTTGGTATTGTGCTATAAAGATAGATCGTCATTTCTGGCAGTTACAATCCAACACACAATAATGCCGTTTACCGCAGATGCGGCGGCCGCACAACAAGTACAAGAGCGTTTGAAGTCCCTTCAACAACTCGTTCATGAAATTGAGAAGAAACGCCATCAGAGTGAACAAGGTATCATATCTCTTCAGAGGTATGCTCAAGATGAAAAACCGGGACAAAGTTCACAGGTAAAAAGAACTTATGAGGAGCCTTTGATTAAATATTAACGTAAATATAAAGAGTTCAATTTCTTGGAGTTTTCTTGATGAAGACTCATTTCAAAGGCACCCTTTGTCGCTCTCAAAGACATTGAAGAATAATTTCCTATCAAATCAAGAAACCAATTGTACCTTACTATATCAGATTTGGATGAAACTTGGCACATATCTATGTGCTTTTTTATTGACTCAGAAATATAATACATTTTATTTTTTGTCAACCTATTTTTGAGATATAAGTAGCTAGTTTGAGTTTTTTAAAAACATCTAAAATCTTTTTGTGCTCATTTACTCAAATTGCAATTGCCTTGTGTCCTATTTGAGCTGGGACCTTCTAGGAGTTGAAAATATTCTTATTGATTTGTGTCCTTATACCATATAAATGTTGTGTTTTGTTGACACCCAGATCGAGTTATTCCAGACAGAAGTTATATGCTTGCTCTGCTGGATGTAATTTAACTGAGAAGCAAGAGCAAATAACTTGTGTCGGTAATAACAGATCCGGAACAAGAATAGTGCAAACAAAAAGAACCTAAGAATACTTTGAACTATTCTTTCAAAGTGGTATAGTTTTGAATTTCTCACATCGATGAATAAAGATTTGATTGATTTAACTTTTCCTTTTAGAAATTGAAATCTCTTTATAAAACAGCAATTCTACAAGGAGAACAGGAGGAAGAGGTCATAAGGAAAGCTCTTCAAAAAATCACAGAAATTCGGAATATCAAAAATGAACGAAGAATTCAGGTAAGTTTTGAATCGAAGGAAATGTTTTTACTGTAATAATTTGTGTGGAAAATATTCGTTTTAATTGGTTGCCCTGGTTTCTGAAACAATTTTAATTAGCATTATGCACCTTTGTTCACTCGTGCTCCAATCTACTTCAAAATGACTAAAAGGTTAAAATTTAAAAGGAATTAACCGAAAGAGAAATATTTTTTAGGAGGTTTTAGTTTCTGGAAAAACAAACCTTATTACATACCAGGTGAATTATAATTTTTCTCAAAAATATTTATTTATTCAACAATTTCTATTTCGTTTCCTTCAACGTAGTCCTCCTCAAATATAAAGTTTCTGGAAAAACAAACCTCATTACATACCAGGTGAATTATAATTTTTCTCAAAAATATTTATTTATTCAACAATTTCTATTTCGTTTCCTTCAACGTAGTCCTCCTCAAATATAATACACTTGTGCCAACGTTTTTTCCAATCCTCGAAGCAGTTCTAATAAGCACTTTGATATATCTTTGAGCTCTCTCAGCGATTCAGTTTTTACCTCCTTAATCGTCGCAAAAAGCTGTCCTTTCTTGGGTGTCGTCAATCTTGGGAACAGGAAAAGTTCGCAGGGGGGTAAATCTGGTGAATACGGTGGCTGAGGCATGATTACTGTGTTGTTTTTGGCCAAAAAATTACGAACAAGCAATGAAAAGTGAGCAGGTGCAATATCGTGATGTAAAAGCCATGAATTGTTTTTCCACAATACCAGACGTTTTCAAGATAATACTCCTTATTGACCGTATGTCCATATGGCAAGAACTCCTGATGCACTATGTCACGGTAAACGAACAAAACAGTGAGCAAAACATTGGCATTTGATTGAACTTGGTGTGCGTTTTTTTGGTATCCTGGGCTCTTCCATTGGAATGACTGAACTTTGGTTTCGATGTCATAACTATAGACTCATGATTCGTCACCAGTTATGACCGATTTAAGCAAATCTGGATTGCTGTTGATATCATTCAATTCCTGAGCGATGCTCATGCGACGGTTTTTTTTTTTGGTAAAAATTCAGCAAATATGAAACAAACTTTTCTGTCACGTGCTTCATGCTCAAAATTTACGAAAAAATTGCATGACATGAGCCAACCCATGTGCCGATATCCTCAGAAACTTCTCTAGTGGTGATTTGATGATTCGACAATTTTCATCACTTTCTCAACATTTTCATCTTTTCAAAATTTGATGTAAATTGTTTGATCCATTTTTTCCGATAGCAGATAATCGTCGAACACACAAAAAACACTTCTAACTTTTATGCCTCTCACCAACAAACTGAACATGCTAAACCTCGTACATCTATGAAAACTTTCACAAAAATGTTAACATGATGCATGAACTAATCTATGATTAAAGATATATTTCCTTCTCAATTGAAGGACTTTTCTAAATCTGGGATTGAAATTAATTAGCTGTATGAATGCTTTTTATATAGTGACGTTATGACAAGAACAGATGTGTCTATTTCCATGATATACAATTGTAGAATATTTGAATCATCTAATAAGAGTTTCAAAAAAAAGTGCTGAGGGAGAGTTGTTTTGTGTTTCATAGCATTCCTCTGAATGATAAAAATTAAATGAAAATAATTACTTTTTTAGAATCATGTTCTATATGATATCACTTTAATAGAATTTATGTTATATTTATTTATATAAGTCCTTAATTGTACAAAACATCCATTTTATCGAAAATTATATTGAACATACACAATTGCTAGTGTTAGTGATCATGGTTAGTGATCAAAGAATGTAAACTTTCACGGCCGGAGATAACTATGTGAAAGCTATATTTAGGCCAACAAAAACTATCAGTCAAAGTCTAAGGTCAGCTAAGGACCCCAGAGAACCTTTAGCAACACCCAGGGTCGATCTACATTGGAACTATGAGAAAAAGTATGGGTACTCGTCTCTCTGAACACAAGAGAAATTGTCCAATCGGACAAACTGACAAATCAGCTATAGTCAAAAATGCTCCCGACAAAGAAGACACTCGCATTGTTTCATTCAAAGATACCGTAATACTCGATAAAACTCAAAATCACTATCCAAGAGTATATAGAGAAGCAATAGACATTCAAAAACACAGGGATAATTTCAATACAAAAGAAGAGGCAATCAACATTAATAAAATCTGGCCACCTATCCTTTCAGGTACACAATAAATATAATATAAAACCAGAGTCAAATACCAGCATTGCAGTTAGTGCATTCGAAACAATAGGAACAACAACTCGAGCACTGTGACTGTTACCACATCGCCTTTGATAATGTCTACCGCAGTAGTAGACGAAACGTCAGACATAAAATCCTGCAGACCATGGCAAAAAACCCGGAAAATAGCTTTCACACATGGTTAGTTTGGTGTTATATTATTGTTAAAGAACTGTTTCATGTTTGCGATCCCCCTGTTTGTACCTGATTAGAAAGAAATAGCTAGTAATGATATCGTTGCGATCTACTTCTCATTTCAGTATATCAAAATGTTCAGTTGTTTAGACTGATAAATACAATTTGTTGTAATCAATACAATTACAACTATAAACATTGAATACATTGTGGAAGTGTCATTTTAAATAATGAAAAAGAAGGTGGTATTCCTTATCTTTTCGGGAGCCATAACACTGCCAACAGAACCTAGGAAAAAGTTCCTTGTAAAAAATGTAATTTAGATTCATATATAATTTTGTTTATTATAGTATTTAATTGCTGGAAAAGATACATTTCAAGGAAAATTAAACATTTTCCATGGAAGTTGTAAATAAATAATGTTCCGCAGCATGAGTTTTTATTATCAAAAGTAAGTTTCTGAAATAGTCAGTTATTCACTTTTGAGAAGCTGTATCTCCAAAATTAGATGGAAGTGCCAAGTTTTGATTTCAGATTCGTTCGTGATCAGACAACAAAAATATGGATCTAATTGAAAATTTTTCAAAAATCAATGCAAAGCAGAAAACTGAATATTCACTAATGTTTGTAGTGTATGAATTTGTATTTCCCTTTCAGTCTAGAATTGCTTCAAACAAAGAATCCATCAGGAAGGGAATATGGATGAAAATGTTATCGAGTTCAGCACAGACCTTGCCTTTGTATGTTGGAAAAATAGGTGAAAAACCACCTCCACTATGTGGAGCAGTTCCAGCAGACCCGAATTATATTGCTAGGGTATTATTTGTTATTGATCAAGTTTGAAATGAACTAACAGTTGAAATTTTAGGTTGGTGATATGGTGGCAGCTTTGGTGAAAGATTCAGGAGATGGGGAAAACTGGATTTTAGCAGAAGTGGTCAGTTATAATAATACCACCAGTAAATATGAAATTGATGACATTCTAAAAGAACAGAATCAGAAGGGAAGGCATACGCTCAGCAGACGAAGAGTAATACCATTACCATTAATGAGAGCTAATCCAGAAACCGATCCTCAGGCACTATTTCCCCAAGGAACTTTAGGTATGTTACAACTAATTCAATTTGTAAATATTATTTACATAGGTATGTCACATAGAAACTCATCTAATCTTTTAAAAAAGGAAAAATAAACTATCTGTTTTGGCATAACTAGGGACCTTTCGGTCGTGAGTCGGCCGCGCTCCCACTGCGCTAATTCACCTCTTTGGTAATATTATTTTCAAAACAATGGCTGAGAAGATAATGTTAGGCTCATGATGAGATATTTATTTATGAAATATTTCATTAAAAGCTTTGAGCTGATTATTGACACAACTTTGGAGTTCAAAGAGCATGTTACTGGCTGGTAGCCAGGCGGTTGGACGTGGGTGCTTTGTTCGCTCAGTTAATCTGCCGATGTGTCTGTTGATGGTTCAAGCCGCAGACTGAACGATCGATTTTCACTTGGTATCGTCCAACCCGTGTTAGGAATCACACGTTGAAAGGTAAGACCTCGTTAGTCCTTAGCTCGCACAAATTTCGACTTCTGAGGGTTGTCGTTCGTAGGGGTGCGATAGCTGGTTAACATATTTTTAAATACTCAAGAAAGGAGTATGCTAATCTAAAGATCCCTACTCCTCAGAAAAAAATGTGTGATTCATTAGTTTTTTCTCATGTTAGTTATTCGGACACAATTTTCGTTCCTCGTTCGTTTCCTTCCACATAATATGATGAATTGAAACTTCAAAATGGTTGCATTCATTTGCTGTTTTCGAGTTTCTTAGTGGTCCTGACCTTTTTGCATTAATAATGGGACTGAAAGTCGGATTCCGCCTGTTTTTTTAACTGCATGATCCAACACTTTTTGAGTTATTGAAAAATCTGTGTGTTCCGAAGTGCCAATATCCATGTTTTATTGCTATTGAAACTTTCTTCCTAACAGTTGAAATAATTTGTATGTTTATGGATTCAAATGATCTTCCTGTATAGTCGCAGATAATACTATCTGGTTTAATCTAGAATTCGCATTTGGGCATTCATGGCAATGCCATGAATGCTTTCTGATAGAATGTGCTCCAAAACTGCCGGTTTATCTGTTTCGCTATAGCAACCACTTTTTTTATGTTGTGGTTTCAGTGGTTTTTATGGTTCTGTTATAACCTACTGGCTACCAACCAACCACCATGTTATTTACTTATGATGCACTGTTTGGAACCTTTGGTGGAATCAGTTTTGATCTTCCTCTTTGAAGATGATTACTTGGTGATCGAAACACGTTTCGAGGTGTTAAAAATAACAATTTGGTGTTGGGAAAAAACTCCAGTAATAACCATGTTATTTGCATACGACACTACCATTTCATGGCATAGTAAAACTGTTGAAGATCTTAATAATAAGATAATCAGAGACATTAATGTAATCAAGTCCTGGTGCGACTCGAATCTTCTCTCTCTTAATATAAAAAAACAAATATAGTAACTTTCAAATGTACTCTAGAAGATATGCCTGTAGAAAATGAGAAGATTGAAATTAAAGATTGCACAACATTTTTGGGCCTTTATATTGACAGTAAATTGAAGTTTGAAGCACACATCAACCAATTGAAGAATAAAACCTTCTCAGGGTGCTATGCAATGAGAATTATTTCAAGGGAACTTGGTACTGCCACGGCTATGAACGCATATTATGCAATAATTGAATTTCAACTAAGATATGCCATTCCTTTCTGGGGGGTATGTAACTCTAGTCTGCTAGATTCAGTACTTATACTGCAAAAGAGAGCCATTATATATGTGTTCAAACTAGGACCGCACAATTCATGTAGGCAGTTATTTGCAAAGAAAAATATATTGACAGTTGTGGCTCTCTTTGTAATAGAAACTGCGTGTCTTATACACAAACATAGGTCAAAATTTTAATATATTTCTTCGTGTCATAGCACTCGCCTAAAATCTAAAAATAATTTTAAATTACCATTGCCTTCTTCATCCCTAGTAAAGGACTCCATTTTCTATAACGGTGTTAAAATGTATAACCACTTACCGTCTCATTTTAGAAATAGCCACGATAGTATTGACAGCTTTAGAAAATACACAAAAAAACTTCTCTCGAGCAGATCCTATTATAGTTTGCAAGAATTTTACAATGATAACTTCCAGTGAAATTGTGAACTGTTATCTGTAATTTATTGCGGATGGCTCGACTGGGCACTGGAGGTAAGTTCACTCGAAGGATTACTGCTAGCGAATGATGTACTTTGGCCTTGTCTCGCATTTTCAAAGGATAAGCTCCACCCACTTCCCCCTCTACAACCCCACCGTCAGTTGTGCACTGTGTGGGGGTTGTGGTGAGGATGGAGTGGGAGAGAACGATAACAATAATTTACTATATTCAATTGGTATGAATTTTCCAATTATTGTTGAACATTGAAAAAAAGGTAATATATATTTTCAATACTCAATTAGTCAATTGCTCTTCTAATAATTTGATGAGTAGATCTAATTTTCCATTGCCGACATTGCTTTCATCTTTCAACACTTCGAAAATAATTCTGAAATTCTGATTGGGGCATGTTTGATAAAACTCAATGTAATGTCTTGGTGGTATTAGGTATTATGAACCTTTTATCATCCTTACGTGATGGAGCAACTTTATTGCACATCAATGTATATACTTCATGTGAATCACTTCGAAATATATTTATATTTCGCAATATTGTATCACCTGTTTCAACAATCTTTATGTAATCATCAACTGATATTTGATTTCTTATAACGGATTTTTTATACCTTTTGCCTTCTTTATTTCATCTGATACACTTTGAACTTGATAAGCTTTGGCACCTGTGCCGTGGAAACTAATGATAGGATCATTCGGCAGTTCATCCTTCATCTTTCCAAGCATCGACTTCCTTACTGGCACATTGAATTTATTATCCATCACATAGCTGGAAGTGTCAAATTTATCAATGTTCTCAGTCATGAAATCATAGAAATTGCCAGTCATTATTTTCAATATGAAAGAATCCGTATCGGTATATAGAAGAGAAGCTTGGGATTCGTAATGCTTTTTGATGACGTCATAAGAAAAGTCTTAGATTAAGGTTCGTTTACACCTGCGAGAAAAGTTGCGACATTAGATGCGCAAATGGTGTTGCATAGTTTAAACACACAGATGCAAGTTTTGCTGACAGTTGGCTGCGAGTTATCGTGCGAGCTCTCGCGCGAAATCTCGCGCGAGCCAGTGTCAGTGTTTGTTGCGACAGTTTTTGCGACATTTGCTATAAATCCGTTTACATGTGACAGCATTCAGTGCTGTCCGCGGTCAGTAGCTGTTTGAACATGCCACGAAGCAGACGCGTAAAAACTGCTGCTGCGGTTGTTTTAGTAGATTATTGGTTTAGAGAAAGACAGAAAAAAAGGAATAGGAGTGTCTGGGTTACAAAATGGATTGAAAGAAGGCGAGATTTGGGAGCTTTTGCAACATTAGTTAATGAGTTACAAATAGAAGATTCACATGTCTGCTGTAGAGCTAGAGGAATTACTATCTCTTGTTGGGGCAAAAATTCAAAAAAAGGACACCATTTTAAGGGAATCGATATCAGCAAGTCACCGGCTGATAGTTACTCTGCGCTTTCTTGCCTCTGGTAAGTATAATGGCATGAATTTCTGACTGTAATTCTACATGATATTTGTTTTAGGTGACTTGTATCATTCTTTGATGTATCTATTCAGAATCGCAGTATGCACCATAAGTAAATTTATACCGGAAGTGT